GGCTCCTGGCATCGCTTCTAGTAACAAGTGCCTTACTAGTAGTAACAATGATAATTTATTTAGCATTGTAATTACTAGCAAAGGAATCTACTAGGACCTTTTCGAACCTCGACTTGTGTCCTAGTGGAAGTGACAGGCTACAGACCACAAGCACTGCTAGCTTTTTAAATGCGCGTCCTTGCAAATGGATGTACAACAGGAGCGCACCTAGAAGAAGGGACTGAGGCTACAATTCACAGTCCTTTTCGGTCTTTCAATTCGGCTCTTTCAGAGATTGCAGGTCCGTGGCCCGGTTTCGTGTTTGTCGGGTCTGTCGCCAAAAAGCTGCCCGCATAAACGCTCCACGTTCATCTCAGTGTGGGAAGGCGCCCGCATCTGGAAGTCCGCTGAGTCCTTCACAACAGCTGCGCCGCAACTGAGGTTACAAAATGTGACACAACAACTTCAAAGCAATATGAGCGACCCTTTGACGGGCGGTGAGAGACAAAACACGCTCCACTCAGACTCATCTCCCATCCTGCCGTTTTCCACTCAGCCCCTCCTTTTCCTTTCTTTTTCCTTTCCAGAAAAAAGGCCCCTTAATGGCGCTGAAGAAGCCGTGCGATCAGAGAGTGAGAGATATCCGTCGAAACGGGCCTTAAACAATATCCGATTGACATTTGTCACGAAAGCTAGCTGTAGCTAGCTGGAGTCTGTCTTGCTTTAGCAAGGAGGGTGGGAGCCGAGGACCTGAGTGCAGATACCTGGTTCAACTCCACCCTTCTCCTCAGTACCTGCTGCTGCTTGGTCTCTTGCTGCTTGCATGCTTGGTGCTGCTGATTGCCTTTGGCTGCTTGCTGGTTGCTGCTGACGTGTTGGGGCATGAGCGAAGAGTTCGGTGGGGGAAGCGGGTGATGAAGAGTTTGGTGATGTTTGGTGGAAGCATGGCAGTAGTTGAGTTTTCCCTTTGTGCATCCTAAATTAACTATATTATTGTCACGCTGCCCCAACTCGTGTCATGGTACCGTTGATGCCATTCATGCGGTTCAGGGTTGCTGCACTTGTTGCAACGCAACGAACAGACACTCTCAGGTGAGGCGTGGTTTGGTTTTCTTGAGGTGACACTTGGTCAGGAATCGAGGTGCGCTTCGGTGACCCTGGCGGGGTGCTTCGCCGCATCCTTGCATGCTCAAGGGGGCCATCCTGGTGGTCACGATGCCCGTTCTTGATTTTTTAGGAATTATGCATCACGCGTGAGCAATGTTTTGCCTAAGCCATCTAGCACACGGAGCCGCAAAGTCACTACAAGCGAGTGCACGCATGACATTTCCAGTTTGCTGCTGTTTGCTGCTTGCTGTTTGCTGTTCGCCGCTGTTTGCGGCTGCTTGCTGCTGTTCGCTGCTGCTGCTGCTGCTGCTTGGTTGTTGCTGCTTGGCTGCTGCTTGGTTGCTGCTGCTGCTGCTTGGTAGCTGCTGCTTGCTGCTGCTTCCGCTGCCGCTGCTGGTTACGGTTATTGTTGTTGTGGCTGCTGCTGCTGCTGCTGCTGCTGTTGCTGGGGTGGTTGTGTGTGTTGCCATGTCTTGCTTGTGTTGGGGTTGTATTGGGGGGGCGCTGTTGACACTCTCCTTTACCCTCGGCCATGACATGTTGCGCTTCCCGGCCCGGCTTTTGCTGCTAAAAGAGCCCCAGCGTTGTTTCTTTCCCTGGCTTTCGCCACCCCCCCTGGGCCACAAGTTCCGAATAGTGAAGAGTGCGATTAGGAAGAGGCAAAGCAAGTTGGCTTGGCTTTCTGGGAGCTATCGCACCTGTCTAACAGCTTGTTTTGTGGTCTGTTGTGATTCGAAGGCTTTTGAAGCAGTGAAGAAGAGGTTCCTTGACAAAAGGGGGCTGGAGTCCAGTGGACCCCAGCGACAGCAGGAGAATGCTGCGGTTTGAAACTTCATACGTTGTGTTTTGAAGAAACAACGCAACAAATCAGAACAACTTCCCCCACTAGCTGGTGAACCTTGAAAGATTCATTTCTGGCTAGGAGAATGGGGGCATCCTCGTTATTTCAACCGTTGCTGAAGCGGAGCGTGTGCAACTGTCAGTTCTGAGACGAAACGAAAGAGGAAGACCGCGCGGAACATGTACAACTAGTGCAACTCTCCTGTGTTAAGCTTCTTTAAGCCAACTAGTGCAACCGGTGTGCTCTCGCTGGCCCTTTCCCCAGGTCATAGAAAGTCTTCGCTCTTTTTCAGGGTGCTTGGCAGTTTGGCTTGAGGCGAAATTGCGTGGGTGCATTTCTGTATGGACAAGGGTCCTTCATAAAGAACGGTTGCCAACTTCAACTGTCCAACTATCACTGATATCATCATCATCATCATCATCATCATCATCATCATCATCATCATCAT